AAGAATTCGTAACTTACCCTGCGATTAAGTTGGCTAAATTGAACATCGTCATGGATGGTAATAGTCAGCGTAGCCACGCAGAAGAATTACAAGGTGGGGAATGTCGCGATGCTGGCGAAGGTTCGCTGGCCGCGCTAGATGCCCAAGAAAAGGCGGTAATTTCAATTTGTTTAACGTTGTATAACACCGAAACTGTTCTGACCAACACCGAATTAGTATTATAAAACACCTTTTTTTGCGAGAACGAGACCGCTATATATGTAAGCGTTACCTTTCGAATTGAAGAGCGGCAAACCACAAGTGTAAGATCAGAGAAAATGTAAAACTTCTTTATTTTTTAACAAGATTAAATAAAGATTTCAGCGCTTGTTGTACGTGGTGAAACCCGGGACCCAGGGGCGTCCCAACAAGCCTCTTAGAAAGAAGTTATAACACATTGAGTTAAATGATTATTTTATGAGTCAGTAAAACTCACAAATTAATAATTAAAGGTGGTTTAATATATAAAAATCTAGAGTTCAGCAATTATCTTGAAAGAGCATCGAAATTGTACCCGATTGGTATAATTCGTTATTTTTTTTCCCTGTTTGAAACATATAAAAAAAAAGACAGGGCAGCTGCGAGACTAAACCTTACTTTAAAAACCTAGGAACCAAATCAAATCAGAATTACCTAGTGATACCTAACTTAAACCTAACATAGGTTAGGTTGAACCGGACGGCCCCCATGGGGAAAGGCATAGGTCATTATGGCCCTTAGTTTTCCGGGAAATATAGTCCTAGAGACTATGCGAGTTTCGAGGTCCTTGAAGATCAAGATGTTTTTTGTAAAGAAAAGGAGTTCGCCTGGCTTCCTCCTGCAAGCATCATAAAGAGATGCCAGAACCGTGAGCCTTGGTATCTCATCCTTGCCCTCGATAGGGCCGGACATTTGCAAATGAGATGCTCCAAGGTTTCGGACACATGAAGTACACGCTTTAGTTATTAACAACACCACAAAAAGTCACGTTCCTTATTATTGTATATAAAAACATAGATTAAGAATAAAAACAAACAACGAAAACAAACAAACAACACTAAACGACCAGATTCAAAGTATGGCGGGCGCGGGAAAAGAGAAGAAGTAGGGGCACACTGGCACCAGGTAGCAACGCCAACCGAATCATGGTGCACCCAACCCTGAACAGCTGACAATAATCGAGTGGATACGGTCGTTCTGGCAACGCTCTGCCTATCGACCATAAGGGAGTTATCGATTATCGATCAGGGGAAAACTGCTGTCGGCCGGCTATATAAAGCGACGCACCGGCCAGTGCGAGTTCACTTTTGCGGAGCATCCGAACAGACAACTGGTAAGTGAATAAATAATACTAACCCTAGATCAAGCAATAGAACAAGGTTTGGCCCTGGCGGCGAACCTTAATAGCAAAGAGATATATGAAAAGGTATAGGTAGCAGTAGGACTAGGTCTGGCCCCTGCAGGCGGATCTAATGAAGTAGACGGGAGGAGCGGAGTCTGGCCCTAGTCGGCGGGCTTCGCATAGCTAGTCAGGTGTGGGACGAGGTCTTGCCCTTGCTGGCAGATCCCGCGGAAACAGGGTGTCGAGTGCGGTCCGTATGACCACACCGTACGGATAATCTAGATGTAGGTTCTGATCTGGCCCTTGGATGGCGGATCAGGACTAGGGGAGGGCGTCGAGAGAGGTTCACCACATTCGCAAAGCAAGCGTAGGAGGGGAGAAGATCTGGCCCTTGCCGGCGGATTTTGATGACTATAGGGTAGCAGGAAAGCGTTAGGAACGGTGCGAGCTTAGGCACGACGGTCGCTCACTTCGAGAGACGTCACCCGGACCCACCTACCGTGACCACGAGAGCGGCCCCCGAACAGGGTATCAACAAGTCGACTACAAGACAGTCGCATCACCCAAATAGGGTATTCTTAAGCCGACTCACCGCACACTCGTAGCGGAGTCGCACCACTCAAACAGAGTGCCGTCAAGCCGATCACCGACGATCGCGTCACCCGAACAGGGTATCAACAAGTCGACTACAAGACAGTCGCATCACCCGAATAGGGTATTCTCAAGCCGACTCACCGCACACTCGTCGCGGAGTCGCAACACTCAGCCAGAGAATCCCCAAGCCGACTATCGACAGTCGCATCGCCCGAACGGGGTAACTTCAAGTCGACCCACTGTACACTCGTCGCAGTGTCGCATCACCCACCACAGGGTGCCATCATCAGCCAGCCGGCTGATCTTCAACGAAGACCGGGACACGGATCTACCCGCAACCAGGGTAGCAACAAAACATCACAACAACAGCAACAACACTGTATTCTTTCCCACAGGTTTCTCTATATCATAATCAATAAAGACTGTATTAAATTACCGTATTCTCTTCCCTATTTACTGGTTATTTGGGACACGAGGGACTCGGACATTACAAATTTCTGTACGAATCCCAACTCCGGCAAGCTAGGCCGAGCACCCCAAAAGAGGGTCGTTACAGCGTGCTTGGCGATTTTGAAGAATTCTTTGAGTTTGTTGCGTCGGAGTGAAAGGTCCTTATTCCACCATGGTGGCCTGGTTCTCTTTCTCGAGTCCGATGTTGGGCATGATGCGTGGTACGCATCTAGCAGTTCTTTGGAGAGGGTCTCTAGGGACTTTTCTATGTCTTATTGTACTTATGATCTGAGAAGGATGTTCTCTCAAGGACTCTCCATTCTGATACCAAAGTACCTTGTCCCCTTACAAGAGTAAGATCTAGCACGTTCGAGGAGGTAGAACCTACAAAGGCGTGGGCTCCCCAATACGCAGTGGTGCGCGCCATCAGTCCGGCGATGGCATTGCCTGAGGCGATCCATGGCTCCTGGACCAAAGCTATCTATCCATGAAAGCTATCCGTCCTCTCCTTCATCGGACTCATTCAGCGTCATTCCCTGGGCGGCATCCACGATGGTTTCCACATCTAGGTCCTTCTGGGATAGAGGATCTCTTCTGCCTCCTTGTTTATCTGAAGGACTTCACTTTGCCCCCCTCCTTTGGTGATGGGTTCGCAACGTGCAGAACCTTCCAGTCCGCGTCTTCCAGTACAGCTTCAGCGCCCGTTCCGCTTGGATTGCGATGGGGAAGAGTACCTTCGCCTTTGGAATGGATGGAATTAGCTCCCTGTCCAGCACCTCCAGCTCCTCCTCCCACAGCGCCTCCAACTGGCAGACATCTTGTGTCAGCTACTTTCTAGTCGGGTTATCCATGCACTTCAGGATATTGACCCCATTTAGCCACCTGGCACCATCAAAGGTGGGCATGGGAGCGTCCTCCATCTGTGCATACAATGACTTAACGAGCCGCGCATGCACCATCTTCCACCGTGCCTCGATCATCTTGACGGCTTCATCTCTTCTGTCAATGAGTGCCACGATCAAATGTTGTTTGCTCACCTCACTGACTTTTTCAGTCTTGATGGGCTATTTCGCCATTTGGGGAGGGCCTGCCTCTTTAGGCCCGCTTTGCCGCTATATATATACATATATACATATATACAAATATACATATATACATATATACATATATACATATATACATATATACATATATACATATATACATATATACATATATACATATATACATATATACATATATACATATATACATATATACATATATACATATATACATATATACATATATACATATATACATATATACATATATACATATATACATATATACATATATACATATATACATATATACATATATACATATATACATATATACATATATACATATATACATATATACATATATACATATATACATATATACATATATACATATATACATATATACATATATACATATATACATATATACATATATACATATATACATATATACATATATACATATATACATATATACATATATACATATATACATATATACATATATACATATATACATATATACATATATACATATATACATATATACATATATACATATATACATATATACATATATACATATATACATATATACATATATACATATATACATATATACATATATACATATATACATATATACATATATACATATATACATATATACATATATACATATATACATATATACATATATACATATATACATATATACATATATACATATATACATATATACATATATACATATATACATATATACATATATACATATATACATATATACATATATACATATATACATATATACATATATACATATATACATATATACATATATACATATATACATATATACATATATACATATATACATATATACATATATACATATATACATATATACATATATACATATATACATATATACATATATACATATATACATATATACATATATACATATATACATATATACATATATACATATATACATATATACATATATACATATATACATATATACATATATACATATATACATATATACATATATACATTTATATATACATATATACATACATTTATATGTACATAAAGAATGTGTCAACGAAAAAAGTATTATTTTTAAAGACATGTATTTATCCGTACACGCTAATGAATATATAAATGTATGTATGTATGCATGTACATATGTTAAACACATTTGTATGTACATCCATGCTTATACAAGATTTTGTGTTACGCAAGCTTTTTATCTATACATGTACATATGTATGTAAGTCTGTATATTGTAGCCATTTACATACGAACATACATATTTACATACATATGTATACACATAGACGAACATACTCTATACAACAAATGTTAGGCACTCTAGTTTTGACATCGATTCAGCAATTTAATGAATGTCGGGTTTACTTTTTCTATTTTAATTTTTTTTGTTTTTTTTTTTTGACGCTTTTCCAAGCTTTTGTAAGTTAACCGACTCCGACGTCTGTTGGAGTTGCTCTGAGATCTTGATCAAGTTGGCTGCTGCAATTTCTTGCGCTCTTTCAGCCATGGCATGATTCATTCAGCTATTCCTTTCATTAAGTTGTTCGTAAGCTTGTTTTGCAGTAACTTTTCTGTTTTAAAGATTTTATATAGCCAAACATACGCAGATACGGCTTCAGTTTGGTGCCTTAACGCGGTGCGCGTACTTCAAACCGCTTTTACCTATTCAGCTGAACTTTCGCTTCTTATATACATACATACATACATATGTGCATATAGCCATATGTGCATATATATAACATACTTACATATATAAACGATATTTCTACGGTTTTAGGACCTATTCTTATTGTCCTTCTATTGAACCAAGCAATACATACATACATATTCTTCCAAATTTTGTATTGCGTTAGGGCTGTGTAGTAGTTCGAATAATTAAATAACATTTAAATATTACGTTGTGCCATGGAGAGGAAAGGATTTCACAAAAATATTATATTTTCCCTGGCTATAATAACTTTCTTGGATTGTCGTGAAGTTCATGGAGTACGTATTAAAGGTAAGAAAACACTTAATGATACATATAAAATATATATATAAATATATATGTATATATATATGTATATATATATGTATATATATACATATTTGTATAATTACATTTACAAATACATATACATATACTCCATGTGACCTTTCCTAATAAAAAAGATTGTACTTTCATATGATGTACATACATACATACATTTTAATTTCAGTAAAAAATATATGTACATACATATGTCCGCATTTACTTACATACATTTACATATACATATGTATGTATTGTATGTATATGTATGTATGTACATCGGCTGTGCTGACATACATATGTATGTTTATATGTATAAATGTATTTATGAGAATACCAATATATAATAAATTAAATTAAATACATATATACATATAAACAGTTATGTACATACATATTTACATATATACAAATGTATAAATTTAAAGAATGCGAAATTAAGACTGGCTGACAACAAAATAACCGGTACCTACATATGTACATATGTACATACATACGTATGAACATATAAATATACATAGATACAAACATATGTATGTACATAAATACATACATACAAACATGCATAGTTACGAATCACGTTAAGCAATGGGACATCATAAGATTAATGAACCCTCAACACCCTAACTGTTCCATTTACATGTACATACATATGTACATACAAACGTATGTATGTCAAAATGGCAATACTGTAAATTTTTTATTTTTGATTTATAAATTTGCTCTATTATCGCATACATGGATGTATACATATGTACATATGTAAATAAAGACATACAAATATAGGTGTTTGAGTACATACATAAGTATAACTCAAACGCACACATTGTATGTACATATGTACATACATATATGTACATACATATCACTATTAAGACTTAAAACCGGTACAACTCTAAGCGAACATATGTATATATGTATGTACATATGTATGTATGTACATGTGTCTGGTGCATGTGCTTGCAAGCTCACATCCGCTGATTAACAAGTGTGCAATTTTTATGCACTGCTACTAATACGAGACTAAGTGGTAACTTTCATTATACATACATATGTACTATGTATGTATTCTTAGGTGCATAAGTTATGAACTAGATTCCATTTGGCAAATACCAAACAACTTTTTGCTGTTCTGTTTTACTGGTCTACTGTATAAATATTAATGTATAAGAAACATTAATTTAAAAAAAAATGTAGACATCCGTATGCATATTTCTTAGATTGATCGGGTTTAAAACCGGTCCGTAACTGGTATGTATAAAATGGTCCAGTTAAAAAAAAAAAAAAAAACATTCAAGGCAATTCAGTCGCACAGCATCTAAATAAAAACTAAAACAAACTAAATAGAATTGAACGCATTTATTAATTTTTAAAAGTATTATTTAAAATACATATATAAATACATACATACATACACATACATGTATGTACATACATACATATGTATGTACACATAATTACGCTGCATTGTTTTTTAATTCCAAACCATTCTAAGAACATAAATTACTTTCATACATGCATATGTATGTATGTATGTATGTATGTACATATCGACGCATTTCCGCGAAAGTATCTTATGTTGATTTTCTTCGAAATGGAGATTTTAATGCAAAATTGTTAGCCACCTAATGTCTCACTACCCTGTGAAATATTATAACTGAAAACCCTATAGTTCCGATAAAAATTAAGTTTCAATTTTATCGTATGTTCAGTGCTTCCTAAGAGATTAAATAAAAAAAAGCTTCTTCTGTCAAATGGGATTTTTCAACATACGATACATTCGCGGAAATGCGTCGATAGGTAAGGGGTAAGGTTAATTCGGTGCAAAACCGGCCACTTTTCAAAAATTTATTGCGGCGAAACTTCTAAAGTTTGTTTAATGAATTAAAAATCGTATATTAACACAACTTTTGAAAAGTTTTTGATAAATTTTGTATTGAAAAATATTTAGAGGTAGAGGAGTTATTGGAAATCTCCCGAGTCGCCTCCAAAAAAAGTTGGTTTGCGGTGTACATCCTAACTGTCCAGAGATCCGATAAAAAAATTAAACCTCATTCGTTAAAGAATAAATGTCCCGAGGTATTCACGAAGCGTTTTTATTTTTAAAATTTTTTTCCCGATTTTGTATCCAAATTTGAAGTCAAAACCCCGATTTTTGACTAAAAAATTTGTTAATTTGTTAAATAAAAAATATAATAAAATTTAAAATTTAAAATTTAAAAAAAGCTCGACGTGAGTACCTGTAGAATTATCTGAAGAAGTTATGTTCAAAATTTCAGTAGATTTTGAGTTATCGTGTACACCGATTTTCAAAATGGCATTTTTCAGGAGAGCGCTTTAAACTTTGTGACTATAGTCATACCAAGGTTTTGTCAAAATAATTGCGCCGACAAGTGTACATATGTATTCACGTTCCCGACATTAGTGTTTAATTTGCTTCAGTGGCCTAGTTCGAATCCATGCCCGGGATCAAGAAATGGAAGTTGCTTTTATATACTGATTTAAGTTATTTAACCATTTATAGCTTTATAATTACAAAATTAACAAAAAAAAATTATTTTACAATTTTTAAGAAAAATCAAAACCTAATTTTATAATGTTTGGTATTAACAATGTTTAGTAGTTACTAAGGTTGGTCATAATAAGACTAAAATTTTTTTTTTAGAAAAATTAAGAATTAATCAAAAATTGTTGAGATTACATCTTGACTCTTTTAAATCTTTAACTAGGTTGAAAAAATTCTTGAATAAAGAACAAAATACAAAATTGTCACGATTTTATGACTAAATTCTTTTTTTTTATTAGTGTGTAGGGTTTTTATATGTTTGTATTTTTTGAGACATGACATTCTGTAGGGAGGAGTCGTTGGATTGCAGAGTGAATTTGCAGGTTATTTTTCTACAAATGTGCAAATGCTTGCACTTTTTGCTTAAAAGAGGAGTATTATCGTTAAGTAATGTCGTTAAGTAGTGGGTATAGGATAAGTTTCTTAAATTATTCCCATAGTTTATTTGATGTCGTCAACGTAATCAATTTTTTTTGAGCTAAGCTAGTATTTTGTTTAGTTGGTTAAAAGCAATTTTAAAGAGTATCACGGACAAGAGAGATCTTTGCGGTATTCTGTTGTATGGTGGTTGTAAGTTGAAGTTGTTGGGCTTGGAAAGTGCAGTTCAGTTTATTAGTATATGTTTAATGTCTATGGTTGCAATGTCGCAGAAAGGGCAGGTGTTTTGGGGTGATTTAGGTGTGGCCTAATCGTAGGTTATTTATAATTATTTGTTGTTGTCTGTTGAGGGTTGTGCTTTTAAGTTAGTAGTTTGTCGGGGTATTTTGTAGGATCTGTTTGTACCATTGGGTGGTTTGGTCTTGCATTTCTTTTTGTATATTTTAGGTGTTGTGTGATGTCATTGGTATTGTTGTTTACAGTGTAAATGTGTGTGTATTTTTCTGTTTCCCTGGCTGCAGTGCACTATGGGGAATTTGACCATTTTTATGGTATTTACTCATTTTATCAAACTTTTAATATATGATTTTTTTTATGTAAACATCTTAAATATATATGGCTCTATAAAATGTAGTACCAGAAATGTTAATGTTTTAAGTCTATCCACTGTTAAAGTCGGTTGTTGTAGCCAAAATGCACGTGCTTGAAAATAGCTATTTTTTATTCGGTTACTTTAAAAGTGAAAAACTTAAAAGTAGAACCAATTTTTGATTAAAGTTTTGTTGGAGACCAATCGTATGGGTAATTATTATGTGTTGTGTGTACTAATATATTGATCTGTACGTGTCTTAATGATATATTGCCATTTTTCTAAGTGTTCCTCTAATTCTTTATTTTTTTTCAAGTTAATTACGTATAAATATTATTGTTTCAAATCATTTTAGCTATAAAAAAGGGCAAAATCTAATTGCTTTGCAATAATGTTAGTGTCAAATGGAAGTTATTAGCGAATTTGAAGGCCTGGACCTCTTTTATGAAGAAATTGAATATGATAACGACGTTTTTTACTTTATATCTGACGAAGAGCTTGAAAATGAAGACAATGTATTTTTTTATTATGTTTATAAAATATATTGTTTAAAAAAAAATCACCTTATAGACTTAAAAAAAAAGAAAATAAAAACTCGTCAAGCGAGGGCGGAACCACGCCCATTTTTTCAAAAAAACTTTCTTGTGGAGTCCAAAACTATAATAAAAAAACCGTTTCGAAATATATTTCTTAGTTTAAAAATACCATAAAAATTGCCAAATTCCCCATAGTGCAGTGTCCGCTTTTTCGTTACCCTTTATGCCGATGTTGCTTGGGATCCACATTAGTTTGATTTTAGGAAAGTAGTTGGTGACTAGATTTCCTATTGCTGTGTTGGAGTTATTGTTGTTCTTAATTTTATAGAGGATTGGAAAACGAAGCATATAGGACGTTTGTCTAATGTTTAAGAGCACATTTGTATGGCTTCGTGAATAGCTATAATTTCGCTTGAGAGGACGGAGGAGTGCTGTGGTAGGAGAAGCTAGAATAAGCTAAAATTAAAAAAAACAAGAAAGGAAGCTAACTTCGGCACACCGAAGTTTGTATAAAATAATTAAATTAATTAAAATTAATTAAATAATTAACAAAAAAATAAAATATTTAAAGTTGTATATTTATATATAGCATAATGAAATGCTGAAAACACACACAAAACAAAGTTTCATAACATTTTACTTATACTTATTATGTTTACAGTTAGACAGTTACAGTTTTACATTCCCAGCTTAACATTTTCTCTACATCTACCGATCGCTTCTATTGCAGCTATATGATATAGTTGTCTGATTTTCATAAAATGTATACCAAAATTCTGAAATAATTAAATAAGCTCGTATCTGAGAGTAGATGAAAATACGTTGAAAAACAACAAAATTATATATTTTTTTTATTAATTTCCCGATCATTCCTATGGCAGCTATAAGATATAGTCGTCCGATTTTCATAAAATTAAAA